TAATATTATGTAATATAAATGTCTCTTGATTAGTTTTTATTTTTATTTTACAGAGATTTTGTCCAATTTCTCATTAATCTCTTCTCTGTACTTCTATTTTATGATCTTAATTCTATTCAATCTATATTCAATCCATAGTCCAAGAATTAATCATATGCATATAATGTATAATATTATGTAATATAAATGTCTCTTGATTAGTTTTTATTTTTATTTTACAGAGATTTTATCCAATTTCTTTCTAATCTCTTCTCTGTAGTTTATGATCTTAACATTATCCAAATTTTTGTTATAAACAGAAAATAATTGTGTACATATATATATATATTTTTTTAATATAATAAACTATACTTGAAAATTGTCAAATTTAATTCTCCTTAAATTTATCCAAATGGATTTAGATTCTTTCAATTTTAATTCAGATAATTGATAATCTACTTTTATCTCTATAACAACATAAACAAATATGCTAGGTCACGTTACAAAGATCTACTATCAAAAGCTACATGATTAACTTGAATCCAAACACAATCTACATTCGATCTACGTTCCACAGTCCAAGAATTAATCATATGTATGTAATATATACTATACTCTATTGTATGATTATATATATGTTCTTTTTTGCAAAGAATTAGGATTTGAATTTAATATCTGACTTAGCTAACTAATTAAATATCGTTTGATTATTTTTTATTTTTATTTTTCTACAGAAATTTTGTCCAATTTTTCACTAATCTCTTCTCTGTAGTTTATGACCTTAACATTATCCAAATTTTTGTTATAAACAGAAAATAATTGTATACATATATATATTCTTTTAATATAATAAACTATACTTAAAAGTTGTCAAATTTAATTCTCCTTAAATTTATCCAAATGGATTTAGATTCTTTCAATTTTAATTCAGATAATTGATAATCTACTTTTATCTCTATAACAATATAAACAAATATGCTAGGTCACGTTACAAAGATCTACTATCAAAAGCTACATGATTAATTTGGATCCAAACACAATCTACATTCGATCCACAGTCCAAGAATTAATCATATGTATGTAATATATACTATACTCTATTGTATGATCGTATATCTCTTTTTCGCAAAGAATCGGGATTAAAATTACACGTTGATCATCAAACTCAAATGAACATCACTGTTTGAGATGGCTTCCGGCGAAAGTTGACATAAAACACGCAATATCCTGCATTAGAGCCGAAGTGTATATCGGTCGCAATGAAGCAATTATTTTCATCCAACGTTACCCATTAGTCGGCAATCCGATTACACGGCTCGGGCAGGTCAAGTGCTGCCTCCACTCCCTCTCTTTCTCACTCACAATCTTATCGAAGTGCATCGATATATATCGCGATACATGGACATGTTCCGTTTTGTTTTGAATTTCCTCAATTACAATAAAGATGGCTGACCAAGAATTAACACATCAATGAATTGAAATGAAAAAGACGGATTTATTATACGAAAGTTGAAAACAAATTTTCGTCAAAGGAATTGAAGAATCGAAAGATTGTCAAATATAGTCATTTGATGGATGAAAAATCGTTCGAAAGAAAATTAAATTGATCGAAGTGCTCGATGAAGCTATTGAAAAGTTGTTTTTTTTTTTTTTTTTTTGAAATTGTTGAATCGCCATTGCACGAATTTTAGTGAAAAATATACACGGATTCGGAATGACAACAATCGCCCCTTAACCTCTGTGTTATTAAAGTGACCAATGCCGCGCCCTCAAAGTGTTTTTGATCGATTCGAGTGAAATTTTGCATGCTTCTTTTTTTAAAATGTTATTTTAAAAAATTATTGGAAGCATAAGTGGGCACGACGAAAATGAAAGGGCTTCAAATACTTTTATATAAGAATATGTGCTATTTATGTAAATATAATTATACAGAAAGAAGAAATATATTTATTTTAGAATACAGATATTCACGGATAATTAAGTAATAAAGTAGGATTTATTATTATTCTTCCATTCTTAAATTTTTACTACTTTATTTTTGAAAAAAAAAGGTATTGTTCTTTTTTTCTTTTATAAAAAGAATACAATTTTTCGTGAATACNCTCGATGAAGCTATTGAAAAGTTGTTTTTTTTACAATCTTTTATAAAAAGAATACATTTTTCGTGAATACAATTTTTGACAAAGTTTGGGCGGTTTAAACTTTGGCATTTCGAGGGAAGCGAGAAGGTAAAGCGCGTGTTAATTAATTTAGGGGACAATTAACGATGCAACCGGGATGAAATCAAACAGATAATCGCGAGATCAAATTCTTTGATCTAATTTTTCAAATTTTTTTTTTTTTAATTAAGAGTGAGGCTAAAACTTCCTGTTCAAAAAAAGAATTGATAAAAAAAATTTTATATCCGCGAGAAAGAGAAAATTAATTAAATCGCTTGAAAAAAATCAATTTTTCTTTTTTCTTTTTTTTTTTTTTTTTCGTTTAAAATATTTTATTTCTCTATTATTTAAATTTTATGTTCATTCGTTGTTTTTTTATTTTATTTCATTTTATTTATTAAAAAAGAAAATTATAAATTGCTCGTTTACAGAACAAAAGTAAATCTCGCTTTTAATTACAATTATGTTTTTGTTCGAACTGAATAAACGAAATTACACTAGATTCGATGCTACAAGATGAAATATTTTATAATACTCCTCCCTCCCCGTATTTACCAAGGTGTTGGGACAAGGAGAACGAAATCTTGATAAAGAGGAGACTCGTTATTTGCACGCAAAAACGTACAATTCCCTCGAGATTAAACAAGCTCATAGAGAGGGGAAATATAAAGAGGAGCGATTCTTTACAATCTTTACATCAAAATTACATCAATTTTATTTTCCAACTCCATTCTTCCCGTACCACTTTTAATTTACTCTTGACACATGAGATTTCATTTATTTTTCTAAAGATCGGACAACAAACACGACGTAGTGCGAATTTGTTCAATTTACTGAAATAATCAAAATGATCGTAAACATCTTCGTCATTTTGAAGATGGCAATGAGAGAGAGAGAGAGAGAGAGAGAGAAATCTATTTGAGAACAAAATTTTTCGATAATTGTTTCTCTCTCTCTCTCTCTCTCTCTCTCTCTCTCTTGCTATTGGATACTGCTTTGAGAGTGATCACTCTTGACGCGATATTTATTGGCGAAAAACAATTGTCGAAAACTCGAGAGTTTTTCATTCTCGAATGAATACGTATAATCCTGATGAGAAAAAAAAAAAAAAAAGAAAAAGAAAGAAAAACAAGGAGAAAAATAGACATATGGGGAAACAGGGTGTTTCTCGAAGTAGAAAAAAAAAATAATAATAATAATTATTTCTCTGAATTTGATCGTTTGTCATCTCGTTAGAGATACTCGTAGAGAACAATCGAGTCTATTATTGAACTTGTAGGATTTCGGTTGAATAGGTGTATTTCAGGAATCTATAATTACTATCGTGAAAATGGTCAGAAACCGAACAAAAGGAATTCTCTGGATACGCTCAAATTAATTTCCAAATATAATTTCATACGAATAAGGAATTATTTTTCATAATTATTATATCATAGGATAGATAATTTCTCTTCTTTAATTATTAATTATATATATATATATACATATATGTGCCTGGAAAAATTTTTACATTTCATGCGGCGACGAACTAACTCAAAGAATTGAATTAATTCGCAAAAATTAAAATTTGTATTTCCAAAAGGATTTTCATTTTTACGTGTAAATGTATACGCCACGTTCATTATAAACCACGTTCCGCACCAACACCTATAATAGCAAAGATGTTAATTAAAATCCCTTCCCCTTTACATTCTATTCCCTAAAAAAAAAAAAAAAAAAAAAAAAAAATTGAGAATAAAACCTTTCACGATCCCTTGAGTAGAACGCAGCCGAATCTCCAGAAAGGGAATACAATTTTCAGCCCAGTAATTAATTCACAAAGAAAGAAGGAAGAAATGATTTCTTGGTAATGAAGCTTCAACTTGCTGAAGAGAACGTAAGAACGACGAATAACCATGACCAAAATCGATCGATTAGTTTTTACATTAATTACGATGAAATCGATTCTCTCTAAAAGTTAATTAAAATGCAATCAAAAAAATTAAAAATTATAATCCTCGTTATTTTTAATTTAATCAAACCTTTACTCGATGTGAATAAAGATTGGCTTCGTATTCGATCCAAAACAGGGATACGAATGTTAAATTGTAAAATCTGACGAGACGAGAAGAAAAATTAATGTTTGAGCTAGTGATTCAACTCGAGCACGTGCGTGTAACAGATTGTTCCAACGTGTCGAAAGAAAAGTTTTCTCGCAACGAGAAGCGTGAAAAAAAAAAAAAAGAAATGGATAAATTTTAAATACGTATTTTTAAATTTTTATTTCTTTTTCGAAAAATATTGCATTATTGGATTACAAGAAAGTCAGAGGATTACAATATTTGAAAGCATAATTTATTTAACCAACATCGAATACCAACATGCCGTTTTGCCATTGGATTTTCTTAAATTAAATAAAACTGTCATACGTTGTTCGTTCCTCGTTCTAAATAATTTATTAAATTTCGAAAAATATCGCGTACATAGGATAAGAAAATCAGAGGAGTACAATATTTGAAAGCAAATAACAATAATTTATTTAACCAACATCGAATACCAACATGCCGTTTTGCCATTGGATTTTCTTAAATTAAATAAAAACTGTCATATATTATTCATTCTAAATAATTTTAAATTTCTAGAATTTCTAAAATTCAAAAAATCTACAATGAAAGCAAATCTCAAATTTATTTAACGCATCGTTTCCAAAACTCTTCCATTCTGAACTTCACACTCCTTATACTCCGCATACTCCTCATACCTTTCATACCATAAATCATTCATTCAAAGGCAATAAAGGAAAAGAATTCAACAAGCGATAAAAAAAAAATTTTAAAAATGTAAAATAAAAATACCGATAAAAAAAAGTACAAATGTACTCACGTGTTGCATTGGATACGATGTACCACCGACAAGAAAGTCCCATGCCCACGCGAATATTCGCGCGCAGATGTGCATCGACGTCACTGCCAGTATGGAGACCTTGATCCCGCTGTGTCCAGCGTCTGGGACACCGAATTCCCTCCTATTTCCGCAGCTATGGTGTCCACCTTCCTCTCTCTCTCTCTCTCTCTCTCTCTCTCTCTCTCTCTCTCCTCTCCCCTCCTCTCTCACCTCTGTTCTCACATTCCACTCCCTAGAATCCCGGAAACTGATAATTCTCGTCAACGTATCTTCCCGCCATCCGGGCGGTTACCAGCTACCCTGGAGCAACCGTCATCCCCCCTCCCCTCTCCCCTCATCCCAAGATTCAAGGTAAATTCCACTCCGCTCTCCGGTATATATCGTTAATAGAATCTTCCTCGGTGCAAATACAAATACACGTCTAAAGTCCCTCGTTTCGATAGTTTTGGTTAACCGATCGATCGAGAGACCCGGATTGAACGTGATCGATCGATCTACTCTCGTGGGATAGTTCCGATCTCGTTAGTTTGTTCGCTGTGCAAAGGGAGAGATAGAAATTGTGCAACGTTTTAATTTCGACGATGTCGACGATTACAATGAAAATAATTTTGGATCTGCATTGTTACTGTTCTGTAACGTTTCTTCACAATTGATATTATTATCCACCATTTCTAGAATTCTAACGGTTTTTAATTATGGAGACAATTTAATTTAATTATGGAGATAATTTATTATACGATTCAGCTGTCTCGTGTGTAATAATTCTATCTATGTTGTTTCGATCAGAAGCGAACTAATGAATCTAACCTAAAAAGGTTAAGAAATATCAAGATCACTTGAAAATATCGAAAATATAATTCGCTCGAAAACTTTTCGAACGAATCACGACATTATGATTGATGGTGTACGCATTTTTCTCTTCCATATCGAATTCAAGATCGATTTTCGAAAAGGATCGAAACACGAGGATTCTGGAATTCAGAATTGAGACCGAATCCATGTGCTGGAGAGGCGCATCGAGAGGCGAATTGATCACCAATTAAACGGGCACGATTGTTAATCGTAGTCACTCTCTCGACTATGATCCAACCGAGTACGTCACTCGTACACTCGAAAACGATGGGTAACCGTCACTTTGACCGACCGAGTAATTACGTACGCTGTCACTTCTCACTTTATAGGACACTAATTTCTGGCCCGCTCAACAACCCGCTTCAATCAACCAGAATTGCACACTGTGTGTAACACACTTTCTACATATATACGAGCTACTTGTTGATCGACACTTGAACAGCAAGCAAGCAAGCAAGCACCATAGAAACGGTAGAAACTTCAAACACGTCACAGGATTGATCCACTTCCCTTTTCAAACTCGGCGATTGATAATTCCATCTGTCCACGGTGCGCGATCATGTGATTGAGAAACAATGTTACCGATGATAATGATGAAAAATCTTTTCTTTTTTTTTTTTTTTCAGATAAATATCGATTGGATCGATCAATGGATACGAAGAATATATTTATTATGTTTCGACGGGTCAATGGATGATTAATCGAGGAGGACGATGTTGTCACGGATTGTATTATGGTCGAGTTGTAAACGCGCCCATTCATGGAACACTCTCGGTCTGAGGGACCGGGCGAGACTGGCGGAAGAAACGCGCGCGTGCCGCTTGGGAACACATAGGGAACGCGGAACGCATGTCAAAATGAAATGTCTAGAGGGAAGGTATACACAACATCCTTGCGAAGGATCTTGAAAATTTCCCTCTTTAACTGGTTGGATGATGGGATTGGAAATTCACGGGATTCGCCGAAGGGACGAAGAGACAAAGGAAAAGAAAAATTTCGAGGAATTGAAGAGGAAATATTGGAATCGATGGAATTTAAAAATACGTAAAGCTTGACGTTTTTTGAGTGACGTGTATCTGAGAGTATCTGAAGGTAACAGTTAATGGAGAGGGGGGAGGGGGGAGGGGAAAAGAAAAATGTTGAAAACTCGAGTTTACCAAGAACTGTGTTCAATAAAATATGGAATATGTTGTTTCTTTTTATACAATTGTAAGTATTGAAAGTAGGGAAAATGTATGGTGTTGTATTGATAGAAGTTTTTAAATAAAGCGAGTGTAATTAGATATGGAAGCTTTTATGCAATTTAAAGTTTTTATTAAGTAAAGTGTGAATTAGGTCACTATTTTGTGTCACGGGGTATTCGAGTCATTAAAACTTTTCATATTTGACATTCTCGTTAAAAATTATTTTTTGATGTAATTAATATCAGGATGAATTGGAGGAGGAGGAAGATATAATGACAAAATATGAATATGAAATGAAATAATTAAAATAAAATGTAATATATTAAATTTTTTTTTTTTTGTATCATAAATTATATTAATAAGATTTTTAAATTTGAAATATCATAGTGAAATATTTTTTTAAAATTTTACAATATTATTCATTTATCATTTAATAATATTTCATCATAAAAAAATATAAAAAATCAACATTAAATTAATTTTTTATTATATTATTTGAAGGAACTATAAAAGATTTTTTATTTTTGTGTTTTATTACCGACTGAGTATAGAATAAGATTGCAACACAACTAGCGAGAAACTAGCAAAGAATAAATTTATCCATATTCTGAAATACCGACTATATAACGAATCAGGATATTCTTTCTACACATTTTGAAGAATAAGTTCAAAAATTATATAACAATTAAACTTGATAAAGTAGAAAAAAAATTCTCTTCTTTTACAGACTCATATAAAAATTGCATTTTATATGATAAAGATAAATCTGAATACAATCTTATTAATTATTGTGGCAATTATAAATTTTACTTTTTATATAAAATATGAAAGATATGAATTCCCAAAGAATTTGAACAATTTGGCAAAGAAATTCGCGAATGATTTCAACCAATTGATTTCAACCAATGATGGAGAAGGAGGATATAAACGTGAAAAATTTGCATGGACACGCATTCACATTGAAAATTGCTCGATGAAACAATCTTTGTTCGTGGATTGGTTGGAGAATCAATTTCAAGTCAAGAGTAGAACAGTATCAAACTCGAAACGAAATATCCGGTAAGGTTATTTTGTTGGTCGGCGATATTAAGGCGCACGAAATTCCAGTGGGCGTGAACAAAGATGATCGTTTCAGAAGAGTGCCGCCTACGATAATACGTTCCTTGTTCAACCAATGGAACAGGGGATATTACACAACGAAAAAATTGTATCGACATAAAATATTGCAAGCACTTTTGGGATACAAAAATAGGATGAAAGAATTTTACAAGAATTACAATATTAGAGCTTGCATAGACACGTTATGCAAATCGTGGACAAAGATAACTGCGGAAAATATAAAAGATGCTTGGAATAAAATTCTCATGTTGCCTCCAGATCCAGAACAAACTGGAACAACGATTTACTTGGATCGGAGAATCAAGCGATGATCGTCGGTACAACGAAATTGGAAGAGAAGAAGTTGTGGAAAAACGTGTCGGATAATTTTTATTTGCAAAGAAGAGAAAATAATTCCGAATGAAGAGTTTCAAATAGAAAATGTCAAGGAGGTTAATGAATTTGGAGAGGGTGAGAAACAGAGGGACAAGATTAATCAAGAAGATTAAAAGTTTTAATCTTGAAGTAAATGAAGTGCAATCAGATAAGCAAAAAATAGATATAGTTTGTAAACAAGAGGAAATGATCGAATGAGGAACGAAAGGATTGGGACGGAACTTCTGTTAATGAATTGAAATATAAATTTCAGCGTTTTTCTTAGAGTTTTTCTTAAAGAATTTGAAACATCTTAATTTAAATGAGTAAAGAAAAGAGAAAGTTAAAAAAAATTAAAATAAGTTAAGAAATAGTTAATTTTGTTAAGTAAATTTTAAAAAATATTAAATATATATATTATTTGATTTATTTAATATAAGATATTAGTCAATATATAATGTAAGTCAATAGGTTTTAAAAATAATTTTTGATACAATCTTGATATTTTTTTCAGTATATTTATTGAAATGTATTCATAGATTTTTTAACTGAACAGATAAAGAGCAAACGGAAAGGTAGAGTAAAAAATTCAAGTATTAGTGCCATCTCGTATAGAAGAAACGAATATAGATGAGGAGAATAAATTACATAGAGACAAGGATGGAGATAAGAATTGATTATTAGCGCCATCTTTTAAATATCGAAAACATCTGTTCAAAGATTGAATAAAATAAAGTAAGAATTAAAAGTTAGCGCTATCGTGTATCGTAGAGAAAAATAATAAATAAAAAAAATAATCCGCACGAATTAACAGCAACTTTGGAAAAGTAAAGTAACAATTAAACATCTGCATTATCTCTTGAGTATTCTTAAAAAAAATGATCCTTTGAAGAAATATTTTTGATACCAGTCAATTCTTATTCTATCTTTCTTTTATTATTATATATTTATTTTCTTTATTTATATTAATTTTATTTGCACTCTGAAGATGGCGTTGATTTCACAATTTTTATCCCTGTCCTTTTCTTATTATCGACTTTTTTTGTTTATATTTACACGTGAAAATAATAATAAAGAAATGTCAAATTTCAAATAATTCAAATAATTTAGTCCATTTTTTAACATTTTTAATATAATTTTTACATAAGAAAGAATTAAAAAAGGGATTAAAGATACGAATAAATTTAATAAAGAAATATTTTATATTTCGAGTCAAATGCAAAACATAAAAAAAAAGAAATCTATTTATATTGAAATATTACTGTTTTTAGGTATCAATTCTACCTACAATTTCAAACCATTGTCGTAATGCATCACTCAACACAACAGGCAAGCTATTCAAATCTCTAAGAATAATGTAAAATGGAAATGGGAAGTTATCCATATAGGAACGTATACCTAATAATTTACCACCATCAAAAACTGGCATCCTAATATCAAGTATCGAATCCTAAAAAAAGAATATATAATAAAAAACAAAATTACAGCATATAGTTGTACAAAATATGATAAATAATATAAATTTTCTCATTTACCTTGTTGAGAGGATTATCGACTATTATGAAGACGAGAAATATATTCAACAATTTAGCTTTTCTCACAGCTGTAGTCACCGTTTCTATCCCTTCGGAGAATATTCCTCTACCATCCGATAAAATAGTAACCAATTTGGCATTGTCAGAAGAACTGCTTTGAGATGCGAACATTTCTATCGTGAAATCAAGCAACTGGCCGATCATTGTCTTTTTTTGTTCAAATTTCATTTCTTGAATCAACCTGGAAGAATTAAACTCTCCTTAATCGCATCTAGATTTATTCGATTGTTTGTCACAGTTATAATTATAGATGCTTACCTAGCGCCACTTTCCTCTGTAAAGTTTTCCCCGAAAGGATGAAGTATGTTCACCCGTTCCCCGAAATTGACAACAGCGAGTTGACCAACCTCCAAATAAGTCATAGCTTTGCCAATCAACGAAAGCGATTCAAATGCCAATTCCTTCGAGTGGTTGTCGGCCATACTGCTCGAATCATCGATAGCCAACACGATCTGATAATCTCTTTTCGACGGTTTCGTACGCCTCAACCAAATTTTGTCTTTACGAAATTCACTGGCTATATACGGGATCACTTTTCTCATGTTTATACGCTTGCCAGTTCTGTAATCGCCTTTCAATCGAGAAGTTAACGTCGGTTCCAATACCAAACGTAATTTTTCCGACAATTCCCTGGCAGCTGATTCGGTTATGGCGCTTATAGAATTCCAAGCATTCGCCGCCTCTATCGAAGACGGCCCATGAGACCATTGGCCCAACATATTTTCTATCTCGGACCTCTTCCGTGCAATGTCATCCGTGGAAACGTCGTGCAACTCTGTCTCCGATAATTTTGTATGAATGGTAGATTCATTCCCTCGTAAAACACGAATCGTTTCCACGTTTTCCCCTTCAACTTCACCCCCTATCTCGATTTGCTGCTCCGCGTCGTCCGTTCTTTCGCCTCTCGCGTTCGTCGATTTTTCTTTCTTACTTTCAGACAATTTCTGAGATTGTTCCTTCTTCGTTTCTTCCTCTCGATCGTTCGGTTCTGGATCCTCGTGCATTTTAACGTCATCATCTTCCAATTGATCGTCCATTTTATCCTCTTTATCTGAATACAATTTATATACGAGTTTATTTCATATCGTTCAAGAGAGAGGAAAATTGAAATATAATTTTTGAAAAAACTTGAAGAAGAAAGAAGAAGAAACCTTTTACCTTCCAAGTTCGATGCCTGTTTCTTAATTTGTTCCTCGGTCGCGGCATCAAAAGCGTAATCGTCGTGTTTCTCTGAACTTTTGATATGCTCGTAAGTCTCGCTTTCACCGCCGCCTTTATTCTTCTCACTTTCCTCCTCGGTGTCTCGATCATGTATCTCGGCGGTTTTTAATTTCTTTGCTGAAGATCGGGCGTCGTCATCGGGCAAGCTACGTTTTTCATCACTTTGGCCTGGCCTTCTTCGTTTCGGCGCTTGTTTCAAAGATACCTCTTCGCCGGAAGTAGGGACATTCTCCTCCTGCTTAGATCCAGAATGTCCCTCGCGTTCTTCCGTTTGCGATTGACCCGTTCCTTCGAAAAACAACGAAACGAATTACATTCGATATATTTTTCACAAATATAAAATATTAAACTTTTTTACCTTTATCCTTTTTACTCTCCATGCAATTTTCCGTCGGATTTATCTCCATTTGCTCCTCGTTCGATCGACTTTCCACCGCATCCCTCGAGCCATCTTTCCTCGATTCAACTTCCTGAGAGGCGTCCACCTCTTTGCTACCCGCGTCGCAACTCGCTGGCGCCATATCTTCCTCTTCTTCCACATTCTTCTCATCTTCTTTCTCTTCCTCGAGGTTTTTTTCATTTTTCTCATCTTTCTCAACTTTCTCCTCTTTTCTTTTGTCACCGTCCAAGTTTGAATCTTCTTCCTCCTCCTCCTCCTCATCATCATCATCATCATCACCAGACTCCTTTCTTTTATCTTCCTCAGAGCCTTCTTTCTCTTCAGTCTCCTCCTCCATTTCTTCCGAAATTTTCGACTCTTTCATCTGATCGATGTCGAAGGGGTCTTCCTCCTCTTCGCCCTCAGGATTGTCCTCCTTCCCTTCCTCGTCCAGATTAACATCCTCCGGAAGCTCGAAAGGTTCCGGCTCTATTTCCGGCCTAATTTTTCCGTGATACGGGTCTATCTGATCCTCGTTTACCTCTGGCTCTTCGAATTCGTTGATCTCTTTCTTCTCTTCCCCCTCCCTTTCACCCTCCACTTCCTTTTCCTCGTCCCCATCTTTACCTTTACCCTCGTCCTTCGCGCTCAATTCCTCTTTCCCAGTCTTCTCACCTCTCCCCCTCTCCTCCCTTTCATTCTCCTTATCCTCGTCCACCTGCTCCTCCTCCTCCTCCTCGTCCTTCCAAATCTCTTCGTCCAATTTGTCGGCAGTTTCATCGGTCTCCCCCATTTCCTTATCGATGTCGTCGTCCTCCTCGTCCTTCTCTTCCTCCTCTTCGTCCCTTCGCCCCTCGATATCCTGCACCGTCCCTTCGAAATCTTCCGACATCTCTATCCCTTTCTCCTCCTCCCTCATCTCCTTCTTCCCTTCCTCCTCGCCCCTCCCCTCCTCGTTCGGATCCCTGGCCCCCTCCAACTGATCCTCGCTCTCGATCCTCTCGGACACGTCCTCCCGCCCCTCGCCCTCGGCCAGTCCCATCCCCCCTTCGACGTTCTTCCCCTCCTCCCCGCGCTCAGCCTCGTCCTCGTCCTTCGGTAGGCAGAAACCGTTGGCAGCCAGCTCGAGGAACACGTTCAATTGAAGATAGAGGAATTTGCAAGTGAGACGGAAGCATGCCACTTGCTCGTAGAGATAGTAGCGGAGAAGGAGGGCGTATTGTTCGAGGAGAGGTAGATACCGCAAAAGGGATCTGCAAAATGGAGATATATTATTTGTGGATTAATATTTCTGTGTACATGATATGTATACGAAGAGGAAGAAAATTGCAGCAAAATCGATTGATGAACGATCAACGATAATTGAATAGGAAGTTAATATGAGCAATTCAATCTGTTATTTTGATTTTGGATAGAATAGATTTCTTAATAATAGTAATAATAATAATAGTAATATGATGGGTAAATAGATCTAATATTATTTAGATCTATTCTGGAGATTCTAATATCGATGTAATATAATCTATGTGTCTAGTAACAATTGTATTATATAAATTTGACTATTATTGATTCACGATCCAATAATTTTTATGCTTAAGTTGATATATAAATCATTTTATAATCAAGAAAAAATAAGGTTAGAAATTCTACGTGTCTTATATCTAGTAATGTCTAGTAACAATTGTGTTATATAAATTTGACCATTATTGATTCAATATTTTTATAATTTTTATTGATATACAAGTCATTTTAAATTTCTTCTTCAAGATATTCTACTTATATGATCTAGTAATGTCTAGTAACAATTGTGTTATATAAATTTGATCATTATTGATTCAATATTTTTATAATTTTTATTGGTATACAAGTCATTTTAGATTTCTTCTTCAAGATATTCTACTTATATGATCTAATAATGTCTAGTAATAATTGTGTTATATAAATTTGATCATTATTGATTCATGATTATATTTTTATAATTTTTATTGATATACAAGTCATTTTAGATTTCTTCTTCAAGAAATTCTACATACCTTATATGATCTAATAATGTCTAGTAACAATTGTGTTATATAAATTTGATCATTATTGATTCATGATCATTTTTATAATTTTTATTGATATACAAGTCATTTTCTTTAGATTTCTTCTTCAAGAAATTCTACATACCTTATATCATCTAATAATGTCTAGTAACAACTGTGTTATATAAATTTGACCATTATTGATTCAATATTTTTATAATTTTTATTGATATACAAGTCATTTTAGATTTCTTCTTCAAGATATTCTACTTATATGATCTAATAATATCTAGTAACAATTGTATTATATAAATTTGACTATTATTGATTCACAATCCAATATTTTTATGATTTTTATTGATATACAAGTCATTTTCTTTAGATTTCTTCTTCAAGATATTCTACTTATATGATCTAGTAATGTCTAGTAACAATTGTATTATATAAATTTGACCATTATTGATTCAATATTTTTATAATTTTTATTGATATACAAGTCATTTTAGATTTCTTCTTCAAGATATTCTACTTATATAATCTAATAATGTGTAGTAACAATTGTGTTATATAAATTTGATCATTATTGATTCAATATCTTAATGTTTAAGTTAATATATAAATCATTTTAGATTTTTTCTTCAAGAAATTCTACATACCTTATATGATTTAGTAATGTCTAGTAACAATTGTGTTATATAAATTTGATTTTTGATTCACAATCCAATATTTTTATTGATATACAAGTCATTTTCTTTAGATTTCTTCTTCAAGAAATTCTACATACCTTATATGATCTAATAATGTCTAGTAACAATTGTGTTATATAAATTTGACCATTATTGATTCAAGATCCATTTTCATGATTAAATGAATATATAAAGTCATTTTATAATCAAGAAAAAAATACTGTAACGTTAGAAATTCTTATACTACCTAGCAATAATCTACTATTGTATAAATTTAATAATTTTATAATCAAGTTGATACACGAATCATTTCACAATCAAGAAAGAAAGAAAAAAAAATAAGAAATTCTCACGTACCTCACACGATGATTCGCAGATACGACATCGGATTCGTGAATAATTTCCAACAATTCGCCGAGCATTCGTGACACCGTGTTCAAACGCAACTGCGGAACGGCCTTCTCCAACGATTCCACCAACCTCTCGGTAATCAGATTCTCCTCGACGACGCTTCCCTCGGGTTCCCTTTCATCGATCAACCGGTCGCCGATTTTCCGGCAATTCTGAACCTTCTTCTGAACGACGAGAAGGATTTGGGTGACCAGCGCGTCCAACTTCGCCTCGTACCCCTTCTCCCTCCTCCAATCTTCCGGCCCGCTCGGTCGCCCCGCCGAGGGGGCCCGAGGCACCGATCCGAATACCTCGTTGCTCTCGTCGATCTTCCCGATCAGGAATCGCACGTTCTCGGCGATCGGGTGATCGTCGGTGAACGCCCGCCCCAGCTCGATCAGCTCCCGCTTCACCCGATCGATCCGTCGATAACTCGCCCCCAAGAATTCGACGCGCCCCCGATGGGACAACAGCACTCCTCCACCCGATCGCTCCACCCTCCTCTCGATCGAGACCCATCGACTCGACTCGCTCGCTATCCCCCTTACCAACTCCAGGCAACCCTTCATCGAGGCCGCCGCGCTCCTCGACACGCCCCCGTCCCTCAACATCGGCACACGCGCCTCGTTCAAATCGAGGCCCCCCTCCCCCTCCTCGACACCCTCGTCGATCGGACAACTCTCCAGAAATACGACGATCTGCTTCACGGATATCTGCAACACTTCCAACAACCCTTGGAAATTGCTCGCCGCGTTCCGAAATTCCCTCTGCGCGGGAATTATCCCCTCCCCCCTCAGAACCTCCGCCAATCCGGGGATATCCTCGACGCCTTCCGTCCTCGCGAATTCCACGATTCTCGCCGATCTCTCTCCTCCTTCCCCTCCTCCCCCTCCTCCTCTCAACGCCTCGACGAGGTCAGGGATGCCCATCCCGCGCGAAAATTCCAATATACGCGAAACTTTGGAGGGATCGAGGACTCCGCTCGAGGGACCAACCCTCGTCATCGAGCCAAGGTTCGACACTTGGAGACAGAGCGGGAGCAACCCGTCCAGGAACTTGGCGATCGTCTCCTTCTGGCGGTGGGCGAGGAGGGCGAGGTGGGCGGAGAGGCCGCGGCAGCGCTCCGCGTCCCGCGCCTCCAACCCCCCCCTCCCGCTGTTCAGCAACCCGTCGAGGAAGTTCATTTTGACCATGGAGCCGTAATAATACCTGTCGCAATCGTGCCATTCCTCGGCCAGCCCTCTGCCCCCTCCCCTCTCTCCTTGGAGAAACAACTCTTGGAGGATCAACTCGGCCAGATCGAGGGGGGGGCAGGCGAGATTCACCACCTCGTCCCTTCGATTCTTCCACGCGAGCACCCCGACCCTGTACGAGACGCCCAGGCGGGTTGCCAACGTTTTGAAGTAATTGGCCAACGCCATCCTCTTCCGCTGCGCGATGCTCCTCGAACCTCGACCTCGCCTTCCCTTCTCGTCGCCGCCGATCCTCGCCTCTCTCAAGCTTTCGCTCTCGTCGAGGCACTCCTCCACGAACGCCTCCACGTCCGTTCGTATTCGGCTGTAATCGTGGCTCGAGATCACTCGTTCGCAGTATCGGCGAGCCTTGCCCGCCAATCCCGCCAATTTTCTCGCCCCGATCTCGATCGAGCACGCGTCTCCCTCTGGGACCGGGTCGATCAAGAAATCGGACGCCTCGAGCACCCTCCTCTTCCTCCTTTCAGAGGGGGAGGGGGAACTGTCGGTTTTCAACACAAGGTGAGCGGCTACGCTCTCCCCCAAACATTTACGATACTCCCTGGCGAACTTGTGCAACGTCCTCCTCGTCTTCTCTGCCGTGTTCCTCACCGACCAATAGCTCGAGTCCTCCCATCTCGCGATCTTGATCGTGTCCCTCAGCCTCTTGGCGATCGGCTCCTTCGAGGCTTTTACCCTCACCCGAACGTGGTCCACGAAACGGGCGTAGTACAGGTGAACGTTCCACAGCACGGCGAGCAGCTCCTTTCGCCTGCCCTCCTCCTCCTGCCCCCTCCTCTTACCCAGGCTAGAGTGGTGGAGATAGAAGAGACGGACCAATTCGAGCCTGTCCTCGAACTCGATCAAGCAGGACTCGGTGAAGAAACGGTGCAAACTTTCTATAATTCTCCCCTTACTCGACCCGCCCCCGCTCGCCACGTACTCCTCCGTCAAATCGAACAGGTGGAACCACCATTTCGAGGCATACGCCCTCGACTCGTCCTCGACCAGTTGCAACGTGTCCTTCCACCTGGAGAACTCGAGCCTCCTCCAACGTAGAACCGTGGCGCCGAGCGACTCGACGAACCCGGCCAAACTGACGTCGTAGCGCGCGTTCTCCTCCCATTGCTTCACCTTCGTCAACAGCAGTTCCACGCCTGTCAGGTACCTCGACAAAGGGGACTCGATCGGGAAACCGAACACCCTGTCGATTATCGTTCTTATCGAGTTCAGCAACGGGTTCTCGGGCCATTCCCTCGACAGCTCCTCGATCCTGTTTAAGAGTCGGTCGAGCAGGGGGCGGCAGAGTTCCACCTCGTCCACGTTCGGATTCTTGTAGAAATTGTACGTCTCTCCCCTTTCGCGAAGGGAGGAGGAGGAGCCTCTCGAGATCAACACGTTCAAAGTGGGCAGCAATCGGGAGGAGGCGTCCTCTGGCCAAGTCTTCATCCCCCGCCCCAGCAACTCGTACCTTTGGGCCAAGGGACGGAGGAAATCAGGCTCGATTCCTCGATCCTCGGCCGTGGAGCAATTCAGCAACACGTTCGAGTGAATCTCGCGGACGATCCTCGCGTCCCTCCACGATATCTCCTCCTCGGCGGTTCTTCTCCTCTCTTTTCTAGAATTACCCTCGATCCGTTCCTTGAAGTCGAGGAAGTCTGCGGATCCGTGGTCCGGGAACATGTCTCTGAACTCCTCCTCCTCCTCCTCCTCCTCCTCTTCCTGCTTTTTCCCTCCCTTGCTTCTGAACAGGCTCTCCCTCTCCCTCGCCTCCTCCTCCCTCCGCTTCTCCTGCTCCTTCCACGCGACCCTGATCCCATGCAGGATCCTCACCAGCTCGTCCATCAGAGAGCCCGTTTCGCCCCCGTTTCTGGCTGCCAGAGACAAATTCTCGAGCTCCGCGAGGGCGATCTTGGCCATCTTCGAGGCGGCATCAGTCAGCCCATTCGAGGAGCACAGCTTAACCAGGTTCAGGTAATCCTCTTGGCACCTGCCTGCCACGGGGAAGCGCAAGAGCTCGTGAGAGGGGGTTGGAGGGTGGTTGGGGGCCGTCAAAATGGACAGCCCGTGGCGGAGGCTCGAGACGGCGGAGAGGATGGGGGAGACGAGGTCCGGGAAGCCGGGGAGAAACTTCCTCTCCAACTTCGCCGAGAACCTTTCCAACGACCTCCCCCAGACCTCCGCCTCGTGCAACCCCTCCCTCGACCGCGCCTCCTCTTCCCTCGTCGCCAACTCGCTCAATCTTTCCATCCGTTCGAACGTGGATCGAGACGAGGCAACGTTGCTCGAGAAATTCTCCACCTCCTCCCTCAGATCGGAGAACGGTCTCGAGGTGGGCCTGACCGGGTGGTGGGCCGAGTTCTCGAAACGATCCCTGGCCTCGTTCGAACGATCGATCGAGGAACGTTTGCAGGTCTCGCCCAAGATCGCGGATTGCAAGCGGCCGATCAGTATGGAGCGGTCCAACTCGGCCAGGTTCTCGCCAAGGTATGCCGACCTCAACGCCGCCTTTCGAACCGGATCGATGGATCCGAGATCGGCGAAGAGGAAGAGTTGGACGCAGCCGAGCAACATCCACCCCTTGCCCCTGGACGCAGCGTCGTTCTCGGCTCTCAATCTTTGCTCGATGCCTCGCAACGCGTTCACAGGGGAGAGGAGGCGATTCGCCAAGTCGACGTTCTCCTCCTCGGTCGGATTCAGCTCGATCGCGTCCACGATTTCGTTCACAGCGGACAGGTAATGGTTTATGTAAAATCGTAGGAGGACGGAGTCGTTGGTGGACACGTCGTATTCGGCCGAGTTGAGGGCGGAGGAGTTCCTCCATAGCAAGGCTCGGACGGCGCGTAGCAATTTGTTTCTGCTCTCGTGGTTCCCGAAAGTGGCGCCCTCCCCTCGGCCGGGGAAGAACAGCTCGTAGAGGAGATGGCAAAGGGTCGATTTGTTCACGAGACTCGTCTGGAAAAGAATTGGGGGATAATGAAGAATTTTCTTTCTTCTTCCTTTCGATTCATTTTTTACGGTTAAATAATAATATGGATTTTATTATTTATTAATAAATTTCAAGTTACGGATACCAATTTTTCGATATATGCTGTATTATGGAATGTTTCTGTATGGTACGAATAAAATAAAATAAAATTGGTTACTATAATTATTTGTATTTGTTTGTATGTGAAACTTTAGACAAAATTTTTTTCAGTTTATTAAAAAATGATTGTTAAAAAGAATTTATATTAACATATAAATATTAATGGTTATTATCCAAAGAATATTATTTATTTATGAATCAATATAGTATTTTGTTAACTTAATGTGTACAATAAAATTTAGATCATCAGTTCAAGTGAATTGGTATTTTTGTCCATATGTATATGCATATCATTACTATAATTACTTGTATTTGTTTGTATGTGAAATTTTTTTTCAGTTTATTAAAAAAATGATTATTAAAAAGAATTTATATTAACATGTAAATATTAACGAATGGTTATTATCCAAAGAATATATATTTACAATAAAATTTTAATCAAAAGATCTCATTGTTATTAGGAATCATTGTTACTTATGAATCAATGTAATATTTTGTTAACTTAATGTGTTCAATAAAATTTAGATCATGAGTTCAAGTGAATTAGTATTTTTGTCCATGTATATATGCATATCATTATTATAATTACTTGTATTTATTTATATGTGAAACTTTACATAAAATTTTTTTCAATTTATTAAAAAAATGATTATTAAAAAGAATTTATATTAACATGTAAATATTAATGAATGGTTATTATCCAAAGAACATGTATTTATAATAAAATTTTAATCAAAAGATCTCATTGTTATTTATGAATCAATATTTTATGTAACTTAATGTGTTCAATAAACTTTAGATCATGAGTTTAAGTGAATTGATAGCTTTTTTTGTCCATGTGTATATGCATATCATTACTATAATTACTTGTATTTGTTTGTATGTGAAATTTTTTTTCAGTTTATTAAAAAAATGATTATTAAAAAGAATTTATATTAACATGTAAATATTAATGAATGGTTATTATCCAAAGAATATATATTTACAATAAAATTTTAATCAAAAAATCTCATTGTTATTTATGAATCAATGTACATGTTCGTGAAAAATTGCAAATATAAACATTTGAATACTCACTATAGATTCCTCAAATAAAGAACAATGTTATTTATCTTTGAATTGAAAGAATATATCTCAAATATAGGTTGGACTGAACTACATCAGAAATATACAATCACAAATGTCAACTAAATTCTCAAACACAATTGTAAGAAGCTATAAGAACAAAAAGAGTTTCTCATGAAAAATTTCTTCTTCCCCGGAAGAAGATATCCAAAAATGCATCAACGACTTTATAACCTGCAGACATCATTCCTCAGGGATGAAATTTATAATTCACACCAGATGAGGATATAAGAACTAGGGTACTAGAATTCACTGATAATAAAACCTTAAATTTGGAAAGAACTTGTGTTTATATAAAACATATAAAAGACAAATAAAAAAATTACCTGGAAATCATCACGGCCCTCCTCCTCGTTCTCGCGCAAACAGCGTAGAAAAACGTTCGAGTTCCCGGCGGAGAAGGATCGCCCTGTGAAATCCTCGACCCCGTTGAACAACTCGTGGAGCAAGGCAGGGACCCTCTTCCCCCTCAGAGTTGCCTCCTCGTTCAGGGCCGTCATCAAGGCGATCAACCGCGCAGGTATCGTCGCCACCCCCTCGAATATCTTCAACGCGCCCCCCTCCCAAATTTTCCAACCCCTTTTGAAGTCCCCTTCGAGACGATCCCTCGAGCACTCGTCCCACAACCTTCCTTGAAAGCGATACGCGAAAATTAGGAAGAAGAACTCGTAGACGGGGCACAGCTCGACACCTTCCCTCCACGAACTGGTCGAACTCTCCTCGCCCCCTGACTCCCTCAACTCCAATATACTCTCGTCCACTCGATGGATCTCCTCCTCCTCGCAGCAATCGTTCCCCCTCCAATCCTCGATCCACATCCCCATCAATCTATCCCTAGCTGTCGAGTTCTGCTCGTGACGTATCGAGGCGATTTTCAACCTGGTCCTGGACAAGTCGATCGAATCCTCCTCGTTCATCTCCAACTTCCTCGATGCGGATCTCAGTTTCTCGAGGAACGCGATTCGTTCGTGGGAGAGGTGGGGGGGAGGGATGGAGGGGAGGCGGTTCTTAATCTTCTTCCGCAATTTTCGATACTTGTCCCCCCCCTTGTGGAGGTGGAAAAATTGGGTGGAAAAATCGGACAATCGTTGGCTGAGATGGTGGTTGGAGGAGGGAGGGAGGAGGGCGAACAATCGTCGGAAGGATTTGATCAACCATTTGTAATGGACGGTCAACGAGGAGGTGATCTCGCGCAGATCGAAGAACGTGCCCCGCGATCTGTCCACCAATCTCGTAGCTCCTTGATCGCGGAACCTTTTGTACCATTTCAACTCGTCCCGTAACTCAAGATACGTTTTATCGTCTATCGGTAAGTCTCCGTGTTCCAGGATCGTGTCCACGATAATTCGACACTGTTCCGTCACCTCGGCGAATTTCAATATCAACGTCTCGTGTCTCAAGTTGGTCGACAATCTTCCTGAAAGGAAAGGGAAGAAAAATTAAGAGGATTCAATTTTAATTCCTTGTCAAGCAACCCTTTTTCGATCGAAAGCAGCAACTTTGGACCACAAGATAAGTTTTCTTACTATGATAACTTTCAACGCTAGATTAATTATATTATGGGCATTGATTATACATCTTTTTTTTCTGAAATTTGTCTTTTTGATATATTAAAATGCAATTTTTTTGTAAATTTATTTAAAAAATTAATATTTAATATTATTTAAAAAATTTATTTAATAAATTTTTTGTAAATTTATTTGTAAAATTATTTACAAATTATTTTTTTAATTTATTTAAAATCTATAGATTTTTATTCGCTGTTGTCTTCAAACACATTTTTTACATGTACACTTTCTGTATACTTGTTTAGATTTAATGCAAATATAGTTAGAATCGAAGCTCGTATTTTGTTCGTCGTGATGGTCATTGCCTAATTTTTTAGCTAATTGAAAGAGAAAAATTCTTTCGAGATATGTTTACTCTAGTACACTGATGGCTGCCAAATTTAAAAACAATTATAAAACACGTGAAGGGATCCTGAAGGATATTTCCTTCATTATCGACATCTTTTATTTCGCTTTCAGTGCCTGAAATAATGCGCATTCTTTTTCTTTCACGGTATGTATTGCGATAATTTTCACCACTGTTGTCAATCTTCAATTTCATTGATATTTTCAAATTCTTCCTCGCTTTCGCATAATTCGAATTTTATATCAGAATCCGATTCGGATTGATCTTCATTTATGCTGCTTATTTTTTTTATCATTCTTTTTATCAATTTCATATCTTTTAAAGACTTGTTCATAATTTAGCTCTTAGCTAAATAGGCAAAACATAAATGTAAAAAAATATATTTTTTTGGATAGATTTTATGATTATTTTTATCAAAAATTATTTTTAATTTTTGCTAAACTAGCTTCCAAATAGCAGTTATTTTTTTTTTCTTTTTTTTACAAAACTGTTGAAATTATCTTTTAGATGGATCTATTTGCTTTATAAAATAGTAAGACAGATTCACTTACAAAAATCGCCATTGAAGGAATTATTTGTTATCATATCACAATTGTAAACAACTCATTTAATTATATATTTATTGCTAAACAGTCGTCATTTGCTTGATGTTGTTTTCTCTTATTCATTGTTATTTCATTTTTCTTATTTCCCAATAATTGATCCATATAAATTGATGGATTTTCATAAAAATAAGTATACAACATCTAGAAATAATAAAATATAAATATTTCAGAGAAAATAGAGAATAGAAATATATATTATATTATTATATCATTAAGAAACCAATACGTAACCAATACATAACGTCTAAAGAATACTTGCATATTCAGAATTTTTAAGCATAAAATCGAAAATGATTTTGCGCACGAATCAACGCATAAAACTTTTATATTTTAATATCTTACGTATTTTCACTTTCACTAAAGAAAGAAAAATTTATTATGAATATTAAAGTCTATATTGTTGTTTTGTGTGATATTTTATGAGGCAATTACCAAGATGCATCCTCAGGTTTGCCAGAGCAAGCAGAGCAATATTTCGCGCACTATTTCATCAATAAAAAATAGTTTTAAAAAATGTAATGGTTCATTTATATTCGAAGATATTTGTAGATTTTTCGCCGGAAGAATACAAATTGTATTCTTCTTCTGTATATTTTCCGGGTTCTCTGCATTATCCATTGGAAGTTTTGGAAGTTTTTATGTCTTCTGCGATATCTTCGCTTGTAAATCTATCACATTCACTGTCTTATTATTATTTTTCACTCTCTTATATGTCTTATTTCATCTTCGTCATTCCTCTCTCTTTACGAATAGAAGCAATTTCAATAACGAAAAATCAAACTCGTCCTCGCTCGAACTAATTTCATTATCGTATTCCACAAAATAAAAAAACTTTGAAAATAATATTTCTATTCCACTGTCGAATTCGAACTAACGCCGAAAATATAGTTCGATCCACGGTTTAATTTCAGATAAAAGAATCTAACCATTCGACAATATATTATTCTAACCTTTATATAAGATTTCACGTAAAGAGGTTAGGAATCTATTTGTGAAGCGATATTCTAAAAAGATAGAACGTAAATAAATATTGTCGCCGTTCGAATCGAGTGATGGCGCTGGAGTAGAGCAAAGTTAATTTAAATTGTTAATTTTATTTCTTTTTTATTTATATATTTTTTTTTTTTCAAACTCACCTGAGGAGACGGCGGACGAATATTCCTCCAATCGAATGACATCTTCGTCGTCGTCTGCGACGTTTCTACTTCTCCCCGATTGATGATCGAGAATCATCAATTGAAAGTAGAGCTTAATGGACAAATTATTAGCGAGCGTGGAACGTTCGATCAAATACAATGGGACGTCTGAACCGAACTCGAATAAAAGTTTCGAGTTCTCCACTTTCTTGGCCAAACATTCGTTCATTCTTTCCAATTCGTCCAACTCGTTCTTCGAGAAAATGTTTGAGCTCCATAATCGTCTGATAGGTAGATCGTCTATGGAAGAACGTTCGTAAAAGTCGAGTAGAAGATGTTTTAAAAACTCCTTTGTATCCGTGATGGGAGATTCATCGAACAAATCTCTAAGATCGATTTTCTCTGGATCGTCCCTGGAAAAATGAACAGACGAATTCTTTGATTTCTTTGATCGAGAAAGAAAAAATTGAAATTTCGTTATTAAAAATATTATTAGGTTCTGTGAAATTGTATATTTATATTTTCCACACGTTAGAAATTTTTATCCTATTTTCAAATATAACGATACTGGTATTATTTTAATTGACAAGCGTAGAGTATAAATGAGAAAAAAATGAGTAAAAATATTTTCCGTCGTGAATTTTATATCGAAATAAACATGAAATAATTATTTACTTCTCGTAACGTAAGTCTTTCGAATCGCGTTATAAATTACTGTTCTCTTTGAATACTTTAGCCAAGTTTCGCGATGAAGATTTTAAAGAGAAAGGGGAAGCTGTATTAATGACTTGGAAGTTTCTTAAGTGTCTCCAATCTTATTTTCATCAAATTTCTCGTTGAATCGTTCCATTAAAGATTCTCTCGTTTGAATAAATTAAAATTCAAGATATCGTTTCTTCGTATATCATTTTTGACAAATAGTTCGAATTTTATGTAATTATCTTAATTTCGACGAAAAGAAAAAAAAAATACGTTAATGGATATCGAGAATAATCCTCAATTTTTTTACAATTATTAGATCTTGAAATTGACATTTTTCTTACAATATATTTTCGAAATATTATCGAGATTCCAACCGACAAATTCCATTTTTATAAAACTTTACGATTTCAGCGCGAAGAAATTCTTCGAATGCTGCGATTCCAATTTCTCGAGTGTCCAATATTTTATTTTATTTAAAAACATTTCGGTCGCCGAAATGTCCGGCGAGTATGATGAATGGGTTAATATTTCCTGTTTCGATTCGGCTAATTTTTGGTAGAGTGGTTTGCGATGCACAAAAACAAGTCCACGTCTATCGTCCAATGCGAGTTGTTTTTTAATCGATTTCTTGGCAGTAGGATGTCGCCGTTACGATATCTCTTCGATTCGAAAAAGAGCAACGAATCGTTCCCTTTACGGGCCGCCGTCCAGTCGCCGTAACTTTTTTCGGCCGTAACGATGCCTTCGACACTCGTTTAGGATTTTCATTGGCGTCAAACCGTTGTCCGAATCGCGTACGATTATCGTGCGATATACCGTTCCGCGTCACGTATTACGATTCCGTTCAAAAACGAAACTTTACGCGACGAGCGCATTTCCAAACGCCGCAACTTTCGATTCTCCGTCGATTGACGCGCCACCTATTTTTCCAATTGTTTTCACTTCACCGTGCGCAAATGTGTGAAAACCGTCTCGTTGGAGACGCGTCCAACTTCGCGAGTATTCGTTCGTGGATTCCATTTTGTCTTTCGACTTATCTTCGTTCGATGTGAATTTCGGTCTACTTCGAGACACGTTTTCAAGATTCTCATTTCCAGACTTGAATTTTTGAAAGCAAGCATCGAACAGTCCTCTCGTCGATAGAATCCTCGAAAGCTAATCTAATATTTCGATACGCTCCAGCTGACGTTTAAGCTTAAACTTATAGAGGAATAATATTGTAAATTCGTTCGATAATTTTTTTTAATTGTATCGTTCGCTTCTCAGAAAACAGTTAAACCAACAACAAAAAGAACTTATTACGCAAAGGAGATATAAGAGGACAATGTGAAAATATGTCGAACAAAATATAGGTTAAGTAGAGTTTACAAGTCACGGTTGATTGTATCATTCTTTCTAAAATTGGCAACTTTATACGATACAATATGATAATGATATATATTTTGAAAATAATGTCATTGATTGCCTTAAAACGAAAAATTATTATTCCACATTTTCGATTTATATTTTAATACGAATATTATACGAGAAAGAAACTAGAAAAAGACATGGAAAATTTTTACCTTTCTCTTCTTTTCTTTTCCACTTTCGAATAGAAAAATAAACAAATTTCGAATTCTCTCTTTACCTGAACTTCTCCACGGCAGACTTCAAAAGGAATCCTTGCTGCTTGATGATCGCCAGTCTCGAGTTCGTTCGAAGATCGCGCAATCTCAACGTGAGAGCATCGAGATCGTAACAGAAATGGGCTCGTTCTCCGTTCTCCTCGTTTCTCTCGGACAAAATTTCCTCGATTTTTCCCCAAGCTTGATGCCTCGATCCCGCATCGAACGTGCCACAAAGCTCACGACACGAGTTCCTCAACGATCTTTCGAATGAGAATCCCTTCGACATCTGTCGGCTGGTGAACGAAGCAACTTGCAACATCTCGTTCAATCTGTACCGATTGTCGTACAATGATCGATGAATTTCCAGGATCGAATTACGATGTGCCCAATTCCAGATCCCGCAGTTGTTCAACAAAGATACAACGTCTAATCGATTGAGGGGCCCGTGATTTTGAGGGGTCAGTATGCTAATTTCTACGCCCCTGTTTCGCATAGCTCTGAAATATACGAAGAGAAATTACGTTATTTCGTACATTTCGTACAGTGCGCTCGATCGATAACGATTAATGTTATCAACCATTTGCGTTCGACGAATTTTTCAATTGGGGCAAGTTCAATTGGGATGAAATTGAGACGATTTTATAATTTTCCAATAGAAGAATAAAAATGTAAGGAATCGAATTCATTATTATTATTTGGTGATAATCTAACTCGAGTTATCGGATGAAACGCTGTGCAGTGGTTCGAAAGATAGGATTCGAAATTATTTTTTTTAATTATTTTAACTTTTGGAAAAGAATATTGCTTTTTTATTACAATTTATTATTTCGTTAAAAATATATATATATATAAAACATAAAAATATAATTAATATAAAATAAAAGAGAAGATACAAATAATATATAAAGAATATATAAATATATAAATATAAATAGAAAAAAAAAATTAATAAATGCTCAAATAAAAAATGAAAAGGACGAAACGAAATTATAGTTTTTTAAATATGGACTATAATATTAAAAATATACTAGTTTTATTACACATCGAAACAATTATTTTTTTATAAATTCGAAAATGAATTTCATCCACTTTTAACACTTAATTTCTCAACTGTTGAAACATCGATTATCGATTATCGATTAGTTCTCTATATACGCGTATTTTATTTAATTTGTAAACGTTTAAAAAGAGGATTAAAAATTTTAATGCACAACAGTTTTACAATTATTATTATATATATATCGTTATATAATTATTACTATAGTTATTATTATATATTATATATATATATATATATACATTATTATAAATCGTTAAATCGAAACAATTCAAATCTTTACAAATTCGAAAATTAAATTTCGTCCTTCCACTTTTTTAATGCATCGTATCGAACCACAGTGCGCCGCGAGACTCGCCTCTCTCGATCGAAAAAGCTTAATATTTTAAAATTCTATCCAATTGCTCCCTACGCAATTCACGCTTTAATAATCGTTTCACGAAGAATAGATAAATCGTAATAGGATTATAATAATCGTAATAATTGTTCATCGTATATCGACGATGATCCAAAAAAAATTCCACTTGCCTGGATATCTCCCCGTGGCGTGGATCCATAGCGAGGAACAGGCGAAAGTCCTTGTGAGGTGTCACCGTGAACACGTCCCCATTCTCATCGACACCCTTCTCCCCGATCGTTAGCGCGCCGTTCGGTTCCAGCAACCCATTCAATCGATCCAAAATTGCCGGGCTGCAGAGATTCACCTGGTCCAGCAGTAACCACGTGCCGTTCCTCAGGCACTGGAACGCGAAAACGCGATCACGCTTACGCTTTGTCCACAAATTTTCGTGGGAATTTTTTTTTTTTTTTTTTTTTTTTTTTTTTTTCGCAACTCGTCGATTCTCCTATTATCGACCCCCCTCGATCGTTCGTGCCTTCGACGATAACTCTTCGAGATCTAACGATTTATTTTTTATTCCGTGGAAATATTTTCGAATTTTTGTTTTATTTACGTTCATTCCAAGACTTGGAATTTTGAAAATATATTTAGACGGAATTTTAGATAGTTTCAATCAGTTAAAAGGTATTTATCATATTTTGAGCAAGGTTTGAAGGAGAAATCGGATTATAGGAAATTTTTCAAAATGGTTGATTCTTTTTATTTTTTTTTAGAATTAGATTCAATTTTTTCTTTTTTATTTTATATTTAATTAATATGTGTTAGATATATATATATATTTTTTTTTAATTCTTTATTAATGCACGCAATGTCTATCTAAAACTGAGTCAAGAAACTTGAGTGAAAGAAACTTTTTCAGATCGTTTTCAAATGTAGATGCAAACTATTACCTATATAACTATTTATATCTTTAGCTATTAACTATTTTTATCTTTATATCTTTTTTATTTATCTAATATCTTACTATTACCTATATAACTATTTATCTTTATCTTGGCAAGAATCGATCGACAAAAAGAACGAATAAGAGAAAAAACAGAAAATAGAATTTTTTTTTTCGATAAACACTGCTTCGAAATACTATTATAAAAAATTGTATAAAAATTTCGAAAGAAGCAACGAAATAAACTTATTTTTTCAATAAACATTTATAAGAAATGGAATAAAAATTTCGAAAGAAGCAACGAAATAGATTATTTTTTCGATAAACACTGTTTCAAAAACTGTTATAAAAAATTGTATAAAAATTTCGAAAGAAACGACGATATAGGTAATATTTTTTCGACAAACATCGTTTTGAAAACTGTTATAAGAAATGGTATAAAAATTTCGAAAGAAGCAACAAAATAGATTTATTTCTTTCGATAAACATTTATAAGAAATGGAATAAAAATTTCGAAAGAAGAATAAGAGAAACAATAGAAAATAGACTTTTTTTTTCGATAAACAGTGCTTCGAAATACTATTATAAAAAATTGTATAAAAATTTCGAAAGAAGCGACGATATAGGTAATATTTTTTCGACAAACATTGTTTTGAAAACTGTTATAAGAAATGATATAAAAATTTCGAAAGAAGCAACGAAATAAACTTATTTTTTCAATAAACATTTATAAGAAATGGAATAAAAATTTCGAAAGAAGAATAAGAGAAACAACAGAAAATAGACTTTTTTTTTCGATAAACACTGCTTCGAAATACTATTATAAAAAATTGTATAAAAATTTCGAAAGAAGCGACGATATAGGTAATATTTTTTCGACAAACATTGTTTTGAAAACTGTTATAAGAAATGGTATAAAAATTTCGAAAGAAGCAACGAAATAGATTTATTTTTTTCGATAAAAATTTATAAGAAATGGAATAAAAATTTCGAAAGAAGTAACGAAATAGATTATTTTTTCGATAAACACTGTTTCGAAAACTGTTATAAAAAATTGTATAAAAATTTCGAAAGAAGCGACGAAATAAACTTATTTTTTCAATAAATATTTATAAGAAATGGAATAAAAATTTCGAAAGAAGCAACGAAATAGATTATTTTTTCGATAAACACTGTTTCGAAACACTGTTATATGAAATTGTATAAAAATTTCAAAAAAAGCAACGAATAAGAGAAGCAACAGAAAATGGACTTACTTTTTCGATAAACACTGTTATAAGAAATGAGTATAAAAGAAGATAATAATAAAGATATAAGAATATATATATATATAAAGATAAGAATATAAAAAGAAAGAAGAGACAAAATAGACTTATTTTTTCGATAAACACTGTTATAAGAGATGGAACAAAAATTTCGAAAGACTATAATTTCTATGAAGAAATTGAATCCACTTTTTAATAATAATAATGGAGAATGGCCGCTCTTTTTTTTTTTTTTCTTCTTCTTTCAAAACAAAAAAAGGAAAAAAGGAACGATACTCACTTTCACCAACACGCTGTCCACCCATTCGAATTTTCCACCGGCGTTCAGGCATCTGTCCTTGTTCACGGCGATCGATAGATCGGCCAGCTTTTTCTCGATCTCGAGTAATTCCGAGTGGACCTCGAGCCTTTTCATCGCGGACACGAGCCTCGATAATTCCTCGGTTTTACGTAGGAACAGCTTCGTCTCGGACGACATGGTCGTTTCCATTGTTTCCCCTTCGCCATCTGATTTTTCGGGACAAAAAGTTTCGTGAAATCGCAATATCGTGAATCTCGAAGAAAAATGAGGGGAAAAAAATCGAATTGATAATTTTTATTTCCAACTTTATCTTCGACTTTTTGTGTACCAAACTTATGAATCGAATAACATTTCGAAAAGAAGAACAAGGGGGAAAAAATAATTTGGAACACTTTGTTCGACGTGGATAGATAGATTTCTTGATTTTTGTTTAGGTGATTTTAGAGGAGAAGACAAACGTCGAAAATATGTATAACCTATGACTAATCGTTTTTTGGAAAAGAAGGAAAAATAATTTGGAATACTTTATTCGAAGTGAATGGATTTCCATTTTTCGTTGATTTTAAAGGAAAAGACAAATATGTATAACGAAAATATGTATAACTTATGACTGATCGTTTTTTGGAAAAGAAGGAAAAATAATTTGGAACACTTTATTCGAAATAAATGGATTTCTATTTTTCGTTAAGTGATTTTAAATGATTTACCTTTAAAAAAAATATGTATAACGTATGATTTCGAAAAGAAGAACAAGAACAAGAAGATATATAATTTGTATAATTATTATTTATATTTATATAAATAATATTAATTATTAATTATAAATATATAAATTAATATATAATTATTAATAATTAATTATTATTATATAATTATTATTTTCAATTATTTGGTATAAATAATTTGGAACACTTTATTCAATATGAATAGATTTCTTCATTTTTGTTTAGATGATTTTAGACGACTCATCTTTGAACAAATGTTGAAAATATATAACATATGATTTTGAAAAGAACAAAAAAGGAAAATAATTTGGAACACTTTATTCGATATGAATAGATTTCTTCATTTTTGTTTAGGTAATTTTAGATAATTCACTTTTGGACAAATGTCGAAAATATATATAACATATGATTTCGAAAAAAAGAACAAGAAAAGAACAGATTCGAAATGGATTTTTATTTTTCTTTAGATGATTTTAAAGGAGAAGACAAATATCGAAAATATGTATGACTGATGATTTTTCGAGAAGAAGGAAAAATAATTTGAAAAACTTTATTCGAAATAAATGAATTTCTATTTTTCGTTAGATGATTTTAAAGAAGAAATATCGAAAATATGTATGACTGATGATTTTTCGAAAAAAAGGAAAAATAATTTGGAAAACTTTATTCGAAATAAATGAATTTCTATTTTTCGTTAGATGATTTTAAAGAAGAAATATCGAAAATATGTATAACGTATGACTGATGATTTTTCGAGAAGAAGGAAAAATAATTTGGAAAACTTTATTCGAAATAAATGGATTTCTATTTTTCGTTAGATGATTTTAAAGAAGAAATATCGAAAATATGTATAACATATGACTAATGATTTTTCGAGAAGAAGGAAAAATAATTTGGAAAACTTTATTCGAAATAAATGAATTTCTAATTTTTAGGTGATTTTAGATGACTCACCTTTGGACAAATGTCGAAAATATATATAACATATGATTTCGAAAAGAACAAGAAAGGAAAATAATTTGGGACACTTTATTCGATGCGAATAGATTTCTATTTTCCATTAGATGATTTCAATAAAGAAGGAGGAAGCGTAAGACTCACCTTTGGACAAATGTCGAACGTTCTCCAGGAGGGCATGATAGTGGGCCACCTGATCCAAATTTTCCTTCCTCAAATTCTTCCTCAGGATTGCGATCAACAGTGTCTCCACCCGCTCCAACAATTCCTCCAAGTGTCGATCGTAATCGGTCTGCAATCGAAAGAACGATTTCTTCTTCGAGAAGAGGAAACAACGTCGGCCATTTACACCTTGCCGACAGACAAATTTCCGCGAATTTGTGGTTTGCCACATTGCACATTTATTACTCGACACTTTTTTTTTCAATTCCATAATCCATTTCTCTATCAATTTTTAATAATAATATAATAATACAATGTCGAGTATGATATATATATATACAATTATATATATTTAATTACAATTGTATACAATTGATATATATGATTTGCACATTTATTATTCGACACATTTTTTTCAATCCATCTCACTCTCTATCAATTTTTAATAATAATGTAATAATACAATGTCGAGTATAATATATATACAATTATATATATTTAATTACAATTGTAATTGATATATATGGTTTGCCATATTGCAAATTTATTACTCGACACTTTTTTTTTCAATTCCATAATCCATTTCTCTATCAATTTTTAATAATAATGTAATAATACAATGTCGAGTATGATATATATA